AAAAGAGGAGGGAGGAGAGGAGAGAGAGAGAGAGAGAGAGAGAGAGAGAGAGAGAGAGATGGAAGTGTGGACTGTTGAGTTTTTGATTGCTAGGACGATGAGCTAGAGTTTTTTGGATTCTCAGAAGAAGATCCTCTTGGTTCTTTTTTTTTTTTTTTTGTATGCTATTTGATAAGTGTATTTTATACATCTTTAAAGCAATGATAGCCTATTTTATTGTATATTTCATTTATTAGGTAAAACTCGATGGTTGGAAGTTAAATTGAAAGAAAGAAGCGAAAAACGACGTAAAATGGTGAAGTACAAAGTTAAGGACCAAATTGCAAATATCCAATGATTGAATTGGACCATAAGAGATATTTTAAAGATTGATGGGAGTCAATTGGATGCAATTATAAGTAGATTCAAACTTGGTATTGGACAAAGAAGAGAGAGCGAAAGTGGAGATTCATTAAGAAACTATTGAAGAGATTCAATATTTTAAGATTTATCGTCATCTTCACAATTTATTAAAAATTCGGGTTATGTCTTTCCATTTATATATGATTTCTTGTAATTTCAATATGTTAGGCTAATTTTTCATATTTGATAGGATGTGATGAACCCTTGGTATAAATTTTTAATTTGAATAATTTAATTGACGTTAATTTGTTCAATTGTTTTGATGTTTATTATCGTTTTCATGCTTTTCAATTAATTGGTGACTGGTTGAATTGTTTGTGGATTTTGTTGTTATCGAGAGAGATAATAGGATCATTAGCACAAAATAATAAATATTATGAGGTTCGATAGAGGATAAAGCTATACCTCTATACTTCATATGATTTTTATATGATTTTCTAACTCGTTTACCGCGTTTATCATGTTCACATCTTTTATCGAGGGATAGGAAGGTCGCATGAGGGTAATAGATTTGATAACCATCGAGAGAGGTTTTCAATTAAATTAAGAATATTGACCAACAAGCATGATTTCAAATTGTCAATTTAAATTGTCGAACTAAAAAAAAAATTAATAAGGGGGATTCTACATCTTAGCAATACTTCTTGCGAATTTGATAAATTTTTACTTTGCTTTCAATTTACTTGCCCGATTTAATATTATTTAGTCACAACTTGATTTTGCTATTCGATTAAGGGTATTATTAATTTTAACTAGATCAAACACATAGTTCTCGTGGGTTCGACTTCGACACTCTACACACTACTATATTACTTGTTCACGATCCCGTTCACTTGTGAGTAATCTAACAATCAAGTTTTTGGAGCCGTAGCCAGGGACTATTGTTTTTGACTAGTTTTAGTTCATTTTGGTTTTAATCTGAATTTTAATTTTTTTAGTTTATTATATTAGAAAAAATCTTATAGTGTTTCTTACTTTCATTTTTAGGACTTTGTATGCGAAGTTTGAGAATTGGTGATCTTGCTCAATTTGACCCAGAAATTGAATGAATATTCAACTTTCGAAGAAGACAAAAGCTTGAAACGCACCAAAAACAGAAAGAGGAAGACATGACAAACGAAAATCCGAATCAAATAACCATCAGGGCTAATTTGGGAGTAGCACAACCGAATGTCGTTGCAGTGAATGAAAATGCAAGGCTCATTGGAGAGTATATGGTTCTATCGATGGTAGAAAGCCAGTCCAGTATCCTATATCCGACATTTGGTCAGGCAGACTTCCACTTGAGGACAGATGTCATCAACGTGTTCCAAAATGCACTACAATTTTTTGGGAAAGCTACAGAGAATCCTAACGCTCATATATCAAGATTTCTGGACACGTGTGCAACAATTGAGTATCCGGGGGTTTCGAGCGAAGCAATTAGACTAAGGCTCTTCGCATACACGTTGAGGAATTCAGCAAAGGAATGGTTAGACACTTGCCCACCACAGAGCATCACAACATGGAACCAATTGAGTTAGAAATTTCTTAGCAAATATTTCCCACTGAAAAGGATTACAAAGCTAAGGGACGAGATCACTACTTTTCAGCAAATGGACTCAGAATGCTATTCAGAGGCTTGGGAATGATACAAGGGTTTACTTCGCCAATGCCCAGAACACGGATTGCAGAAGTGGCTTCAAGTGCAATATTTCTACATTTGTTTTTACCCGATTAGCAGGGCTAACGTAGACTCCGTGTGCGATAGTTCTATCACAAAAAGAACCGCGAACCAGATCTACCAAATCATGGAGGTTTTGGCATTCACCAGAGCACTTTGGCCTACTAAAAGAACGAGTGGAAAGAAAGCTGCAGGGGTATTCGAAGTTGATTCTTTAACAGCACTTTTCCCACAACTGGCATCATTGGCACAGAAGGTAGATTAGATGAGTGTAGCCCAGACAATGGGACAGAAATGCAAACGTTGTGGAGGGAACCACGAGAGTGTTGATTGTAACGTAGGATCTCCTTTTGCTCAGACAGTAGAAGACGTGAACTACACTCATAATTTTCAAAGGCAACAACACAATCCAAATCCTAACACATATTACTTAGGCTAGAGAAATCACCCAGGTTTTCAATGGAGTAATAATCAGGGAGCTCAGATTGCACCACAGTAGACTACACCGCCAGGTTTTCAACAAATTGAAATAAGTCTTCATTGGAAGATCTTGTGACTAAATTGGCGAAGATCTCTACAAAATACATACAAAGAACGGATAAGGCCTTGCAAGTTCAAGGAACTGCCATCAAGAACTTGGAAAACCAGATGGGACAAATAGTAAAAGCACTCTAAAAAAGACGGCGAGGAGCATTACCAAGCGACACTGAGATAAGTCCTAAGCAGCAAGTAATGGCAATAAAAGTTGTGGAAGGTGAGGAGATTGAAGCAATCACCACACGCAGTGGGGTTAAACTTCCAGAAATTACAGTTGAAAGACGGGTGATAGAAAATAAAAAGGCACATTTTAAAGATGAGGAGTAGGTAGATAAATCTGAACAACTAGACCAAGTAGTTCTATCTCAAGAGCTAGAAAATCTACAGGTCAAGGCAACCATTCCTATCAAACCTTATGTACCTCCGGTCCCATTTCCGCATAGATTACAAAAGAGGAAGTTGGAAGATCAATTCGCAAGGTTCTTGGACAACTTCAAGAAGTTTCATGTCAACATCCCACTGATTGAAGCTATATATCAAATACCAAATTATGCAAAGTTTTTGAAGGAGGTCCTATCCAAGAAGAGAAGGCTTACAAATTTTGAGACCATCAAGTTAAATGAGGAGTGTAGTGCCATCTTGCAGAACAAATTACCTCATAAATTACGAGACCCAGGGAGTCTCAAAATACCTTACTTAATAGGAAAAGATTTGAATTTTAATTACTTATGTGATTCAGGAGCAAGTATAAACTCAATGCCTTTCTCTGTATACAGGAAATTAGGATTGGAAGAGCTAAATGACACATCCATATCCCTTCAATTGGCAGACAGATCAATTAAATACCTAGGAAGAGTGGTTGAGAATGTGCTCATTAAAGTGGACAACTTCATATTTTCCATTGATTTTGTTGTCCTAGATATAGAAGAGCCATGAGATGCAGCGTTACTTATCTTGGGCAAATCCTTTCATCAACAAGTCGAGCTTTCATGGACTTTGAAAGTGGCGAATTGACGTTGAGAGTGAAGGATAAGCAAGAGAAGTTCAAGATCTACAACACTATCGAGAATCCATTACATGAAGAATCAGCAAAAAGGCTAAGGAAGAGTACAAGTATATTGCTACGAAGGTATAACAAGGCTCGAGAGAGATGGAGCCTAAACATCTAGTGAGCGTTGGACGAGAGAAGAATGGAGAGTTCAAAGTTTGGAGGGCAAAACGAGGATGCAAGGTCAAAAATTGTAAGGAGTGCAAAAGCTCTAAACACCTATTTAAGCCACCGTAATTAATTCATCCATACAGTCTAGCTAAAGACTATAAATTAAGCGCTTATTGGGAGGCAACCCAATCTTCTAACTCTTTTATTTATTTTGCTTTCTGCATCGCATAACATATAAATTTGTTTTGATTACTAGGTTGCAATAGAATTAGGCACATTTTAATTTGTATGTATCACCATCCTTAATATTCCTGTTAGGCCATTGAATTTATTATTGGTATTTTGATTGTTTAGGCTAAGTAATACATGTTCTAGATTACTTGATTTTTAATGTTTGATTTGACTGCTATGTGCAGTTACAATACATCGTGAAACACTCAAACCAAGATAGACCCAAGGGAAAAACATGATGAGAAAAATTTCTTAGCCGTCCCACATTCAACAAAAAATTCAATGAGTGCTTTCTTCTTTTTCTTCCCTACCCCTTTATGTGCTTACTTATACTTTATGATATTGAGGACAATGCCGATTATTAAGTTTAGGGATGGAATAAACTTTTAATTTTTGTTTTTCGTATGTTTTGTGTTTTTGTGTGTTTGTCTTAGTAAAGAAGAAGAAGAAGAAGAAGAAGAAGAAGAAAACCGAAAAAAATTGAAGAATTTCAAAAAAAAATAATCTCTTTTAATTAGTTGTATGCTTGTGTGGATTAGACAATTTAGCTAACAATAATGATTCATTTGAGATTTGGTGTTAATTTATAAACTGTGGATAAGTTGCATGCTAGATTGATTGAAACTTAAACTTGCAAAACTTGATATTATACGCGCACAAAAATTGAGTTTGACATGGTGATGTAATGAGTTATTTCGTGCTCTAAATACATTGATTTAGTTGGACATAGATGCTTTACCCAAATCATGCTAAACTAATTAACCTTAGACCAAATTTAGCACAGCTTGGGGTGATTTTACTATTGTAGGCAGATGCAGATCTGAATGTGGATTCCTTGTGTAAAAAAAAATAAAATTGTGTGGATTGTCAGAGATAAACATGATAAAATTAGGTGAAAGTATTGAGTTGGAGGTCAGTTTTCTTGAATAGGTGTATGATAAGGGACATTGCACTAATCAAGACATATATTTTAAAATTTAAAACTTCTCTTTGAAGCCTTTATGATTCGAGCAATTAAGTCTGTAAAGGTATCTTAAAACATGATGCCTTAAAGTCGTTTGATTTGGGAGTCATCGGCTTAAAGCTCGCTACATGGGTCATTTGGAAAGTAATCGGACATAAAGTTGCCCTTAAAAATAAACATAAACATAAAAATAAAAATAAAAATAAAAATAAAAATAAAAATAAAATAATTGTACTTTTCAATGCCTTTTTGACTCGGGTTATTAAGCTTGTAGGGGTATTTAAAAACTTGGTGCCCTAAATTTGTCTAACTTGTGAGTTATCGACCTGAAGCCTGCTATATGGGTCATCTATAAAACTTAAGGGGGAGTGCAAAAGAAAAAAAAAAGAACAAAAAAAAATAAAATAAAAAAAAAGCACTAAATGCCTTGTTAAGTCCTAACACTTGTTCGAGCGAGTTTGACTTTCGATGAAGGATAATTAGCCTAATTGAGTCTTGATGGTCGAAGTGATCAAATAATTGGAGAATCCTTATTCATTGATATGTTGACTTGCAGCTAGTGACGTCCACCTAAATTGGAGAGGGTGAGGATACTAATGAAAAACTCAACCTTAGATCACACGCTGGGAGAAGAGTGAAAAAGAATAAGTTTGGAGTTGTGTGAATCTTACGAGAGATAATGATATATTTGACCACAGAGGATCGGGAATTGAAACAACTTGTGTATTCATGATTGATTACTTAATTCTTCATACATACGTCAATTTTGTATTGGTAAAGTGGACATTAATTTTGGTATTGCAACCTAGAAGCTGATAGTATATTTAATATTATAATTTCATATCCCAAGGTAAAAAGCTAGATTATCCAATCAAAATATTTTGTATGTTTGTGTGTTTGTTAAGTTAGGTTATGATTTTGTTTGAGGACAAACAAATGTTTAAGTTTGGGAGTGTTTGATAAGTGTATTTTATACACTTATGTAGTCCTAAAAATATCGACATTTAATAGTTTTTTAAAGTAATTATAGCCTAATTTACTGTATATTTCATTTATTAGGTAAAACTCGATGGCTGAAAGTTAAATTGAAAGAAAGAAGCGAAAAATGACGAAAAATGGTGAAGTACAAAGTTGAGGACCAAATTGTAAATATCCGATGGTTGAATTGAACCATAAGAGATATTTTAAATATTGATGGGAGTCAATTGGATGCAATTAGAAGTAAAAAAGGAAAGGAATATCATCAGAATATTACCATAACTCAACTTCCAATTACTCATATATTTTCCAGATTTTTAGTCAAAGATTTTGATCAATTTTTGGCATAGTAAACGTCCAAATTGGAAAATACCAATCTCTAGGAAAGTTTTATCCCTTTTAGTTAGCTTTCCAACTCATTTGAATCAACTCAATCGGATATCGGGAGATAAAGTTGTGATCAAAATACTGACTACTGTGCAAAGACAAAAAATCTGCACGCGAGTGTAACTTTCCTTGTTCGACTGGAACTCTTTTGGTAACCAATTTGGACGTGATTTTTCATCAATTTTCGACTCCTACAGATACCCAACAATATAATATATCAACGGGGGCTCTCATAAATATCTCTTATATATAATATACTCCAATATTCATCAATTATTATCATTAAAGGAGGATAATTCATTATTTTTGTGAAAGAATTGAAGGAGATTTGTAAGAATTCAATCAAGTGAAGATTCAAACTTGGTATTGGACAAAGACGAGAGAGCGCAAGTGGAGATTCATTAAGAAACTATTGAAGAGATTCAATATTTCAAGATTTATCTTCATCTTCATAATTTATCAAAAATTCGGGTTATGTCTTTCCACTTATATATGATTTCTTGTAATTTCAATATTTTAGGCTAATTTTTCATATTTCTAGGATGTGATGAACCCTTCTTAGAAATTTTAAATTTGAATAATTTAATTGACATTAATTTGTTTAATTGTTTGGATGTTTATTATCGTTTTCATGCTTTTCAATTAATTGGTCACTGGTTGAATTGTTTGCAGATTTATTTGTTATCGAGAGAGACAATAAGATCCTTAGCACAAAATAATAAATATTGTGAGGTTCGATAGAGGATAAAGATATACATCTATGCTTCATATGATTTTTATAAGATGTTCTAGCTCGTTTAATGTGTTCATCATGTTCGCATATTTCATCAAGGGATAGGAAGGTCATATGAGGATAATAGATTTGATAACTATCGAGAGAGGTTTTCAATTAAAATAGGAACATTGACCAACAAGCATGATTTCAAGTTGTCAATTTAAATTGTTGAAGTAAAAATGGATTAATAAGGGGGATTTTACATCTTAGCAATACTTCTCGCGAATTTGATAAATTTTTACTTTGCTTTTAATTTAGTTGCCAGATTTAACATTGTTTAGTCACAACTTGATTTTGCTATTCGATTAAGGATATTATTAATTTTAACTGGATCGAACACATAGTCCTTATGGGTTCAACACTCTACACACTATTATATTACTTGTTTACGATCCCGTTCACTTGCGGGTAATCAAACAATCACTATTTATGGAATTTCTTACAACTGCAACATCTTGACCAACGATATATTACTAGAATTTTTGCTAGTGTATTGGCGTTAGAGCTTTTGTTGGATCACAAATTATGTGTTAGATTGAGTTTTCCTAATAGATAGAGCTCATTGTGTGTGAAGGCACACTTCGTGAATTTCTTTTAGAAATTCTTCTTGGGGTATGAGCTTTTTGAAGTGTCTTTGAAATGTTCTTGGAGTGGTTTTGGAACAGTTATTGGTTGTTTTTGCACTATTTATTGTTCTTGGTATCTCGTTGTCACTAATTTTCTTAGATGGTTGTTTTAGTTTGGATTTCTTTTTCATGGGCACAAGCGTTGTCATAGTTGCTAATTATGATTGCAAATTGATGCTTTTATCATCATCAACTTGAGAAGGGGTTGTCAATAAGATCGAATAAGATTATAGAGATCGTCGAAAACTACGGTTATGTGTCTATTTTATCATTATAATTGTATTACATGTAGATAAATTGTTTTTACCATATTTTAATTATAGGTTACCATAGTTAATATTGTAATTGATTGCTACCATATTTTGTTGTGATTTTAATTCTATATAATGAGAGAACCTCTCATATCGAGGGATATCGAATTTTATTAAATATATTTGTTAATGGCAAACCTTATCCAAACATTCAGGACATTATAATATTTTTAAAATCTGCCCTCATCCAACATTATTATTATTTTTTTTAATTTTCAAATCAATTTATGCAACACTGGGCTCACATTTTCCTTGTAATCAATTTCTTCTCTACAAATCTCAAATCTAGCTTTCACCTCCCAGAGTATAAAAGTCATTTTCTTTCCCAAGATTTTTTTTCCTACCTCTCTTCATTCTTCAATATCTTTATCAAAATATTTTTGTCTCTCATATAAGTCCACCTGTAATGGAAATTACATTAGTAAGAATAGAAGCAAAAACATTTCTTTATTGGGTTTCAAGTGGTCAAACTTCCTTCACCTGAACTAGAACTTGATTTAGCAGT